TAAATGTGTTGCATTTACTTGGGGATAAAGGAAAAATTATAATCTGTAATGCATTAATGGCAGGCGTCCAGTGTGTTCTGTGTAAGGGGAGCTTTTATTAGCAAAAAAAGATTGCATAAGCTGCTTAGAAACAGAGTCCATGGGTTTCATAGGTTCAAAGCCAGAGTTGTTCTATCAGTTCATTGATGGTGATGCTCTTACTGGTCAGGTATTCTTTGGAGAATGTCTTGTTTGAATTATTACAATCCTAAAGACTATTTAATGAAAAACCTTATCAGAGCAGAAGATGGGTGAAGCACATGAAACACTTTTTAGTAAGTCTATGGAAGCAGTTGTTATTTCAGACCTGCAAGCATAGGTCTCCTTTCCAGCCCTATTTTGTCTGGGTCTAACAAAAGTGACTGTATTCTGGTATCTGCAACTTTCAGAATCCCAAGATAAATCATGTGAAGGTTTTTAGGAACACTCTACTGTTGTCTTTTGCATTTTTTTTTTTTTTTTTTTTTTTTTTTTGAGACGGAATTTCGCTCTTGTTACCCAGGCTGGAGTGCAATGGCTCAATCTCGGCTCACCGCAACCTCCGCCTCCTGGGTTCAGGCAATTCTGTTGCCTCAGCCTCCTGAGTAGCTGGGACTACAGGCACGTGCCACCATGCCCAGCTAATTTTTTTTTGTATTTTTAGTAGAGAAGGGGTTTCACCATGTTGACCAGGATGGTCTCGATCTCTTGGCCTCGTGATCCACCCGCCTCGGCCTCCCAAAGTGCTGGGATTACAGGCTTGAGCCACTGCACCCAGCATCTTTTGCATCTTTCTATTTATATTGTAATCATTTTCTTATTCTGATACAGAGGGTACAAACATTGCCATTTGTCCATGCCCGCTAAAGCGGCTCTGTTGACACTTTATACCTGCCTCAGGATTTCAGGCGAGGCGTCTTCTGGCTCCGAAGCTAGCAAACATATGGAAAGGCTATGTGCATCTGTATTTGTTTTCTATAGTTGCTGTAACAAAGTACCACAGATTGAATGTCCTAATACAATAGATTTATTGTTAACATTTCTAGAGGCTGGAAGTCTGAAATGGAGGTGTTGCAAATGGCCATGCTGCTCTCACTCTGTCTCTCTGAAGACTCCAGGGAAGGGCCCTTTCGTGCTCTTTTCTAGCTTCTGGGGGTTGCTGGCATCCGTGGCATTCCTTAACTCATTGCTGCAGTGTGCCAGTTCCTACCTCCATCTTCCCAAGGCCATCTTCCCTGTGTCATCTTTTTTTTTTTTTTTTTTTTTTTTTTGAGACGGAGTTTCGCTCTTGTTACCCAGGCTGGAGTGCAATGGCGCGATCTCGGCTCACCGCAACCTGGGTTCAGGCAATTCTCCTGCCTCAGCCTCCTGAGTAGCTGGGATTACAGGCACGTGCCACCATGCCCAGCTAATTTTTTTTATTTTTAGTAGAGACGGGGTTTCACCATGTTGACCAGGATGGTCTCGATCTCTCGATCTCTCGACCTTGTGATCCACCCGCCTCGGCCTCCCAAAGTGCTGGGATTACAGGCTTGAGCCACCGCGCCCGGCCGTGTCGTTTTCTAAGCACACCACCAGTTATATTGGCTTTACAGAACAGCGTACACCAGTGTGACCTCATCTTAACTAATCACATCTTCAAAGACATTGTTTGCGAAACAAGGACATATTCTGATGTTTTGGTGGATGTGAATATTGGGGAAACACTTCCACCCAGTATAGTCAATCCTCTAGGCCCCTAACATTCACATTCATCCCACGTGCAAAATACATTCACCTTATCCCAACATCCTCAAAAATCTTAACTTGTTTCAGTATTAACTGTGAATCCAAAATCTCATCTAAGTATCTTCAACTCTAAATGTTGCAAATCTCATTATCTAAATCATGCACACCAGGCATCAGTGAGACTCTCGGTTTGATATGATACATTCTAGGCCAAAATTCCTCTCCTAATTGTGAACATGTGAAACTAGAAAACAAGTTATCTGCTTCCAAAATACGATGGTGGGTACAATGGTTTGAATGTGTCCCCTCCAAAATTCATGTTGAAACTTAATTGCATTGTTGTGATATTAAGAGGTGGGGTCCTTAGGAGATGATGAAGCCCCGAGAGCTCTGCCCTCATGAATGGATTGGCACCTCATAAAACTGTTGAGAAATGTTAACTTTATGAATATTAAGAAATGCTGAGTGTATGGTAAAATATATTGTTTGCTAGGAAGAACGATGGCAAGGAAAACCCAGCCGCCCGCCCCACGCCCAAAAATAGTAAACTACTTGGGGCATTCCAAAGTGGCAGGACTGGCCGGGCGCGGTGGCTCAAGCCTGTAATCCCAGCACTTTGGGAGGCCGAGGCGGGTGGATCACGAGGTCAAGAGATCGAGACCATCCTGGTCAACATGGTGAAACCCCGTCTCTACTAAAAATACTAAAAATTAGCTGGGCATGGTGGCGGGTGCCTGTAATCCCAGCTACTCAGGAGGCTGAGGCAGGAGAATTGCCTGAACCCAGGAGGCGGAGGTTGCGGTGAGCCGAGATCGCGCCATTGCACTCCAGCCTGGGCAACAAGAGCAAAACTCCGTCTCAAACAAAACAAAACAAAACAAAAAAGTGGCAGGACTGTATGTAAATATCATACACTGGTCAAAACAATTCTTTAAGATATGTGGCCCTGCTCCCATGGCTCCCTCTTGGAGAATACTTTTTAGCTTCTTTGTAATCAGTGGTAAGTGGGCACCAGCTGCCTACTTGGTATAGTTTTGTGTTATGAGAAAATACAGAACACCTGTTTGTTAATAATAATCACCTGTTCAGAGAGAATAAATACATGGATCAGAAGCTGCTGGGGGCCTTCAGTCCACCATGCTGTCAGCTCCTGAGGCTCTTGGTTCAGAAGGCTACTGGCTCCCCGGATAGACTCACTTCGCTGTTCTATCTGGGTGTCTGCCTTTCAGTTCCTTCAGCACCACCTTGTTGGGGGTCTCTGTGGCTGAGCTGGCTCACAGTATAAAAGGGCTGGAAGGAACTTGCTTAGGTGGCCTTTTGCTCTTTTGCTACATGAGGACGTAGCAAGAAGACCCTCACCAGGCTCCTAATAGCAGCACTGTGATAGACTTCCAAACCTCCAGAACTGTGAGTAGTAAATTTCTATTACTTGTAAATTACCCAGTGTCAGATGTCTGTGACAACAGCACAAAGGGACTGAGACCAGGCGAGTATAGGACAGACACTTCCATTGTGAAGGGCAGAATTTTCAAGGAATTAAAGGGGTCATGGTCTCACACAAGTTTGTGACATAAAAGGGAAAACTACATTCGTTTTCAAGGCTTTAATAACTTTCCGACTCGATCCAGCCTCTGGGCCCAGTGGGTGCAGTTTGCCTTGGCCTCTGGGCCTGCAGTTCAGCCCTCCCTAGCCTCTGCATCCACGGCTCTGGCGTGGGAGTCAGTCATTTTTCCTTCAATTTGTTCTGTCTCTGTCCCTTTCCGTCCAGGCTGGCAGTATTTCTGCTGGTATAAAATTCTCAAAAATCTTGTCTGTTTTCTGTGAATGTCAGGGGGATCCACACCTTTAGACACGAGAGTTCTCCACAGATCTTTCCTGGATAACCCCAACTCTATTCCTGGTTTCTGCTGACATGGTTGATGGATCCATATGTCACACAACTATTCTCGTTAGCAAATTATTGTCTGAACACACTCTTCAGGACAGACCTTCTCATCCTTGGCAGTATAGTTAGGCCTAGAATTTTCCAAATCACCAAGTCTTGGTTCCTTTTTGCTGAACAATTCTGAGGCAGGAGGATTGGGAATTAGGGTAACCAAGGGTTAAGGCATAAGCAAAAGAACAGCAGGTGCAGCCATTTGTAGGAAAAATTGGGCAGCTCACAGGTTCCTTGCTCCTGCAACAACGAGACAGAAGTTTCCCCATCAGTATCTGATTGACTGTGTGCCAAGCCTTCACTTCGGCATCTGATTGGTCACAGGCCTTAATGGAGTGTGTATGATTGCAGTCCTCTAAAGGGCACTAAGAGGTGTTGCTGGGTTTTTTTTGGTTTTTGGTTTTTTTTTTTGAGACGGAGTTTCGCTCTTGTTACCCAGGCTGGAGTGCAATGGCACGATCTCAGCTCACCGCAACCTCCGCCTCCTGGTTTCAGGCAATTCTCCTGCCTCAGCCTCCTGAGTAGCTGGGATTACAGGCACGAGCCACCATGCCCAGCTAATTTTTTGCACTTTTAGTAGAGACGGGGTTTCACCATGTTGACCAGGATGGTCTCGATCTCTCGACCTCGTGATCCACCCACCTCGGCCTCCCAAAGTGCTGGGATTACAGGCTTGAGCCACCGCGCCCGGCTGCTGGGTTCTTTTAGCTTAATAAAAACCCCAATTGAAGAGGTTCTTAAGCCCACGCCCACCCTGTGAATTGCATTTTTGCTGCTTTAATAAATCTGTGCCTTTGCTAGCCCATTCTTTTGTTGCTTTGTTTGTGCATTTGTCCAATTTTTTTGTTAAATACACCAAGAACCTGGACAACTCACAGTTAAGACCTTCCATTCGGGAACAGTTCCTAGCTCTAGATCTTTCCACTTGGATTTTAATGTAAGCAGGCTGGTTTCCAACTCTTGGCTTCAAGTCATCTTCCTGCCTTGGCCTCCCAAAGTGCTGGGATTACAGGTATGAGCCACCATGTGTTGTCTCGGCTAATTTTTAAAATTTTTTCATAGCGATGGGGGTCTTACCGGGTTGCCCAAACTGGTATCACACTCCTGGCCTCAAGAGATCCTTCGGCCTTAGCCTCCCAAAGCACTGGGATTACAGGCATGAGCCACCACACCAGCTCCCTAACAGATATGTTAGAGTTCTAACTTGGAATATGTATGAATATGACTATTTGGAAATAGAGAACTTGTAAATATAATCAAGTTAAGATGATGTCATACTGGATTTGGATGGGTCCTAAATCCAATAACCGGTGTCCTTATAGCAAGAGTGGAGAAAAAGAGCCACACGCAGGGAAGAAGACAGGGATTGGATTGATGCCTCTACAAATCGAGGAATGCCAGGGATTTCCAATAACCACCAGGATCTTGAAGAGACGCAGGGAACAGACTGTCCCTTAGAACCCACAGAAGGAACTGATCCTGCCAACTCCTAGATCTCGGACTCCAACCTCCAGGACTGTGAAATAATACACTTCTGTTGTTTTAAGCTACCCAGTTGGGCCGGGCGCGGTGGCTCAAGCCTGTAATCCCAGCACTTTGGGAGGCTGAGGCGGGTGGATCCCGAGGTCGAGAGATCGAGACCATCCTGGTCAACATGGTGAAACCCCGTCTCTACTAAAAATACAAAAAACTAGCTGGGCGTGGTGGCGCGTGCCTGTAATCCCAGCTACTGAGGAGGCTGAGGCAGGAGAATTGCCTGAACCCAGGAGTCGGAGGTTGCGGTGAGCCGAGATAGTGCCATTGCACTCCAGCCTGGGTAACAAGAGTGAAACTCTGTCTCGGAAAAAAAAAAAAAAAAAAAAAAAAAAAAAAAAGCTACCCAGTTGATGGTAATTTGCTTAGGAAACAAAGATTTTGGTACTGAAAAGTGGGGTGCTGCCATATTACTATACACAAACAAGGAAATGCCTTTATTAATAGAATGGAGTGATGGACAGAGGAAGAATTTTGAGGCACATGATAGACTAAGCCTAGATTGCCTTGAAGAGAATTAGTGGAAATGTCAGAGCCCCATCTCTACAAAAATATAAAAATTAGGTGGACATGGTGGCATACATGTGTAGTCCTAGCTACTTGGAAGGGCAATGCAGGAGGATTACTTGAACCCAGGAGGCTGCAGCGAATTATGATCATGTCGTTGCACTCCAGCCTAGGTGACAGAGCAAGACTAGATTCCAATTGCAACTGTGTCACTAACTACTAGCTTTGTGCCTTTGGACAAACTTCAGGAAAATGTGGAAAATGCTACTAATCCAGTGGATTTTTGTGAGGATTAAATGAATTAAATTGTGAAAGAACTGGTCCATATTAAGAACTATATATGGCCAGGCGCAGTGGCTCAAGCCTGTAATCCCAGCACTTTGAGAGGCCAAGGCGGGTGGATCACGAGGTCGAGAGATCGAGACCATCCTGGTCAACATGGTGAAACCCCGTCTCTACTAAAAATACAAAAAATTAGCTGGGCATGGTGGCACATGCCTGTAATCCCAGCTACTCAGGAGGCTGAGGCAGGAGAATTGCCTGAACCCAGGAGGCGGAGGTTGCAGTGAGACGAGATCGCGCCATTGCACTCCAGCCTGGGTAACAAGAGCGAAACTCTGTCTCAAAAAAAAAAAAAAAAAAACAAACAAAACTATATACATAGCTATATAACCAGTCTTTTTTTTTTTTTTTTTTTTGAGACAGTCTCGTTCTGTTGCCCATGCTGTAGTACAGTGTCGCAATCTCAGTTCACTACAAATTCTACCTCCCAAGTTCAGGTGATTCTCTTCAGCCTCCTGAATAGCTGGGATTGCAGGTGCTCACCACCATGCCCGGCTAATTTTTATGTTTTTAGTACAGATGGGTTTTCACTATGTTAGCCAGGCTGGTTTCGAAGTCCTGACCTCAAATGATCCACTCATCTCGACTTCCCAAAGTGCTATGATTATAGGCGTGAGCCACCATGCCCAGCCTAACCAGTCACCTTTTACTGTGTGATGCCCTAGTCATCAGCTTTGGCCTCTCACAACTGGTAATCTCTATGGGGCCAGACCTTTAGTTTTCTGAGTTATTTCTTTAAAAATTCAACTTTTTCAGTTAGAAATATTATCTATTACACACACACACACACACACACACACACACACACAGAGGTTAAACACTGACATACAGTGTAATAACTTCCTTTCAATAATTCTTGAAGCAACCCGGTATGAAAAATATTTGTTTGGTCTCTGGTAGAAGGGAAGGGTGTGAGTGTGACATTCCAAGGAAGGAGTTAGGCCTTGGTGAGCTGTTGAATAGAGAGGTTCTTGTTGGTGCAGGAATCACAGAGGACTTAAGACAAACCTGGGGTGACCTGGAAATTAAAGACAGGGTGCTGCATTTATCTACAGCTATATTTAAAAATTACCCCAAAACAGGCCTGGTGAGGTGGCTTATGCCTATAATCTTTGTGCTTTGGAAGGCCAAGGCCAGAAGATCTCCTAAGGCCAGGAGTTTGAGACCAGCCTGGGCAACATAACAAGACCCTTTTTCTACATAAAATAAAAAATAGCCGGGCGCGGTGGCTCAAGCCTGTAATCCCAGCACTTTGGGAGGCTGAGGCGGGTGGATCACGAGGTCGAGAGATCGAGACCATCCTGGTCATCATGGTGAAACCCCGTCTCTACTAAAAATAAAAAAAATTAGCTGGGCATGGTGGCACGTGCCTGTAGTCCCAGCTACTCAGGAGGCTGAGGCAGGAGAATTGCCTGAACCCAGGAGGCGGAGGTTGCGGTAAGCCGAGATCGCGCCATTGCACTCCAGCCTGGGTAACAAGAGCGAAACTCCGTCTCAAAAAAAAATAAAAAATAAAAAATAAAAAATAAAAAAATTTAGCGTGGTGGAGTGTGCCTGTAGCCCTAGCTACTCCGGAGGCAGAGATGGGAGGATCCCCTGAGACCAAGAGTTTGAGGCTGCAGTGAGCTACGATTGCACCACTGTACTCCAGCCTGGGTGACAGAGTATCTATCTTAAAAAAAAAAAAAAAGCTAAAACATGATGGCTTAATACAATAATAACCATTTATTTTATCTTGTTTCTGTGGATCATGAGTTCAGACAGCACGGTGGGGGTGGCTTATCTCTGCTCCATGATGTCTGGGGTATCAGCTGGAGTGGTTGAAGCTTGGGGACTGGAATCACCTGAGGCCTTTTTACCCATATTTGTATCTGGACTGAGGCTGGAATTTGATTGCGTCAAAATATTTTCACGGCTGATGTGATGGCTCACGCCTGTAATCTCAGCACTTTGAGAGGCCAAGGCTGGCCGATTGCTTGAGCCCAGCAGTTCGCAACAGCTTAGGCAACATATGGAGACCCAGTCTGTACAAAAAATACAAAAATTAGCACCTGTAATCCCAGCACTTTGGGAGGCTGAGGCGGGAGGCTCACTTGAATCCAGGAGTTCAAGACCAGCATGGCCAACATGGTGAAACCTCCTTTCCACAAAAAATACAAAAGGTATCCGGTTGTGGAGTCTTGTGCCTGTAGTCCTAGCTACTTGGGAGGCTAGGGAGGGAGGATCACTTGAGCCATGGAGGTCAGATTTCAGTGAGCTGTGATCGCTGCACCCCAGCCTGGGTGACACAGTGAGACTCTGTCTCAAAAACAAACAAACAAACAAAAAAACCCTAAAATACTTTGAGTTTGTGCTGGGTAGGCATAAGGGAAGCATGCTCAGTGAATGGAAAAAGCTCGGATTACACATAAACCAATGGCCTGAGCAGGTTAGTTGTGGTGGACAAGGGAACCAGCAGCGTGTCACGTGTTCTTTAACGCCGGTGCCAGAGTCTCCAGCCGCGTCCTTCACTTGTCAACCTTTCCCCACCCAGGCAGCGAGGTCCCAGCGCCAGGCTCCGCCGCGCCCCTGGCTTCCCGCCAATCACCGCCGACCGTGGAGGTCCGGGGCTGCTATTGGAGGAGACAGGAGGGGCGGTGCCCGCTCTGGGCGGTGTGGGCGAAGCGGGGCGAGGGTGGGGAGGAGGGTGCGTCGTCTCCTCCAGGGCTGCTGCCGCGCCGCGCTCTGCGACCATGGCTGTGCTGGCGGCACTTCTGCGCGGCGGTAGCCGCAGCCCCCTGCTCCGGAGGCTTGTGCAGGTGAGCGGGGTCTGTCCCCACCGCGCTCGGACCCGGGATGCGGGGAGTTCCCACCTCGGAAGCGTTCTGCCCGCGGCCCTTGCGGCTCCCGCGGCCCGGCTGCTCTGCCTAGGCCCCAGGACCGTCACGTGACCGGGTCTCGTTCCAGAATGGCCTAAGTGCCCGGATAACGCCCGGGGACTCGCCTGTTCTTACAGCACGTTGCTACTTCCAATCATGTTGAGTGTTAACTGGTGTGTCAGACAAGGGCCGGTGTCCGGGCAGGCGGACGGCCGGAATTGGCGCTCGCCGGGCCTGAGCGATGGATGCAGGAGCCTCTTTGCAGACCAGAGCTGCTCTCGAGATTTTCTTTAAAACACGTTTGTGTGCGTTATTGTCAGGAGAGGTTCCTTTTCTTTTTAAATAGAATAGATAACCATTGGGGGCATACAAGAGGAGAGGGCACCATGTGATCATAACATGTTTTTTTTGGAGCCGCCTAAAATTTATCAGGGAAAACAAATGACTGCTCAGATAATACAATAAATACATTATACTTGACATAGGAGCAAAGCTCCCATACTGAGGGCGTTCCAAGGGGTGTCTCTCCTCGGACTATTGTATTTAGGGAACACAGTAAGGGCAGAGTCTCAATGAATTTATTCTCCACCTGCGTGAGCAAGGGAGCCCGCACCCCAGATTGTTAGGCAAAGCCTCAGGAATAGGTAGAGACCTTCAGGGTGTGGTTACTGAAGCTTGGGTTTGTTTTCTGGGGTGATTAGGGCAATAAGCTTGGAGATCCAGTTATGTTGTGAGTATGGATTTCACCCTGTTTAAGTGGGATTGTTGATAGGTTTGTTTTTGTCGAAGGCTCTTGGGTACCAGCCCCAAACCCCGTACGTGGGTGCCCTTAGTCTTGGCGGTGAGGAGGGATTGAGAAAAGGAAATAAAAACAAAGACACAAGAGTAGAATTTACAGCATGGGCCCAGGGGACCAACGCAAGCGTGGTAGTGACGTTGGCCCCAGCTTTGGGCTCCAAACACTTTTATTATGTGCATAATCTCATTGATTATAAGGGCTTGGAAGGGGAGGATGAAGGGGTGAGTAAAATGGAGGGGGGGCGGGAGAACACTTGTGATCCTTCTAAGACATAGTAAACTAGTGCTCTGAGCATTTAAGGGCACTTGAGATCCTTCTAAGACATGCTAAACTAGTATGCTGCGTTTATCACTGATTGTTATCAGGGTGCTGCTGCATCAGAAGTAGAGCAGAGGAGGAGCCACCCGGTCTGAACACACCCGATGCATCAAGGGGCTTTTATCTCAGCATTGAGGACATAGAGCAATTAAAATCACTCC